TGTCTTTTGATGTGGATGTCGCCGCGATCGAAGAGACCCACTTTGTTTGCAGTTCCGATGCGTGTGTGCTGGAGGATGACTTTGTCGTTTATTCAGCATATGGGGACCGGTCTGCCAGAGGTGTTTCTTTGCTTGTCAGACGTACTCTCGATGCGAAGGTGGACCTTGTGCATACCGATGCAGAGGGCCGGTTGATCGTGGCCGATATTGCCGTGAAAAGTGGTTCGTTCCGGGTCGTTGCGGTTTATGCGCCCAATGACCAGGGGGAGCGGGTCTCGTTCTTTCGGCGGTTGAGGCCGTTCCTGGTGGATTCAACGCGCCTAATTTTAATGGGGGACTGGAATGCCATCCTGGACCCCAAGTTAGACAGGGAGCGGGGTGCTAGCGGGAGAGGGGGCGATCGCAGCCTGGTCGATCTGATACCGGGTCGATCATCCCGAGGAAAAATGTGGACGTGGGCTCTTAATTGGCCTTTTGACAAGGTGGTTAGCTACCTTGACAGAATGTTAGTGAGAAGAGCCGACATAGAACTACTAGATTTGCCCTACGTTCCACTGGGTAGGCTATTCGGATCACAAACTCGTTTGTGCACGGGTAGCGTTAGACAATAGACCTAGAATGGCTGGGTACTAGAAGTTCAATCTGTCTTTACTGGACAGGCGGGACTTCCAGGAGCAGATAATTAGACTAGTGCAGCGGGAGCTAGTGGGGGCGGTTATCGGGAATAGATGGTGGGAACGCCTTAAATGTAGGATTAGGTCCTTCACCACTGATTTCAGCAAATGGCTCACTCTAGATAGAGCTGAAAATGTGAAGACGCTTAAAGCTAGTTATTCTCGGGCGGTGGCTGGGGGGGGATCCCCTAGAGATAGCCTTAGCTAAGGAGGCCCTGGATCGATCGAATAGCGAGCGGTACATGGGTCAGGTAATTAGACATAACTTAAGCAAGATGTCTTCCGAAGCCGTGAATTTGGTTTGCAGATCTGCGCAGGGAAGAGGTCCGTCGAGGTGGCGATCGTTACATTCGTGAAGTCAAATCCGCGGAGGGGCGTACTCTTCGGGCCACTGACGACATGTGCGGAGCGTTTCGGCGCCATTTCGAGAACCGGTTTACCAAGGAGCCTGGTCTCCGTGAGGAGGAGTTTCGTAGCTATTTGGCTGACTTTCCTCGGCTTTCGCCGACTGAAGCGGCTAGCTGCGAGAGAGAGATTACGGAGGGCGAAGTCTACGCGGTTTTGAAGACGGTCGGCAGAGGCAAGTCGCCCGGTCTGGATTGTTTGCCCTATGAATTGTACTTGAGGCTGTCGCACATCTTTGTTCCAATTTTGATTGCAGTGTTCAACAACTGGTTTTGGTCGAGGTCCATCCCCAACCGGATCACCAGGGGTGTGATCACTCTGTTGAAAAAGGGCAAAGGTGGTGGGGGGAACCTAGATGATTACAGGCCCATAACTCTGCTAAACACAGAGTTAAAGATTATGGCCAAGATCCTGCAGGAGCGTTTGCAGTCAGTTGCCGAGTCTCTGTTGGGACCTGAGAAGACTTGTTCTGTGAGGGACCGAACAATTCAGAGCAACCTGCATCTGATTCGCACGATCATAGAGGGTGTAAAAGACGACGAAGAATCCGCGCTGATCAATTTGGATCAGTCCAAGGCATTTGATAGGGTTGACCATCGCTACCTTGCTGCTGTCCTGCAGGCCGCTGGATTCGCACCCAACTTCTGCCGCTGGATTAGCCTCCTGTATCGCTCCCCCAGTGCGGTGGTACAGGTGAACGGAAGGTTGTCGGACGCGTTCGTGCTGTCTAGGTCGGTTCGTCAGGGTTGTCCGCTGTCGCCTCTCCTTTATGCTTTGGCGTTGGAGCCTCTCCTTCGCCGGCTGAAGGACGAGACCGGCAGTCCGGCCCTACGTGGAATTGCCGTTCCTGGAGGGTCTCGAGCCAGTGTTTCCGCGTACGCCGATGACGTATCGGCTTTCGTGCCGTCCCGAAACGACATTGAGGCGGTACAGAAGGCGCTTGATCGGTATGAGAAGGTGACAGGGGCCAAAATAAACCGCGACAAGTCGTCCGGCTTGCGGTTAGGTGCCTGGAAGGGGGTCGCTCTTCCGAGCCGCTTCGGTTGGACAGACGGTCCTTTCCGCATTCTTGGAGTGTGGTTTGGGCCTGACCTCCAGCTGGAGAAGAATTGGTCTGAAGTACGAGCAAAGGTCGATTCCGCCGGTCAGACTTGGAATCGACGGAGGTTGTCCGTGAAGGGCAGGGCGGAGGTGTGTGCTACATACATTTTCCCCCTGATTCTTTATCGATTGTCCGTACTTCCTCTCTGTAAGACTCACAAGAAAGCGCTCGAGCGCTCGCTATCCTCCATTTTATGGAGGGGACGCGGGAATCGGGTCGACAGACGAGTCTGCACTAAACGTCCGTGTCATGGGGGGCTGGGAATGCCGCACCTGCCGAGTCACATCCGTGCCTCTAGGTTGGCTTTCCTACGTCGCGCATTGACTGGAGGAGATCCGATTCTGGAGGGGATTGTTAGGGACGCGTTCCCTGGCCTTACCATCAGTCCCCCCATCTCGCGGGTTGAGCGCCGTCGTAAACCCCGGGATCAATCAGTTTTCCTTCGTGAGTGTCGGTCGGCCTAGGAAGGTCTTCTATCGTGAATTAGTGGAGAGGCCCGCGAAGGATCCCCTACGAGATATGCTCGGCTTGTCGGAGGAGGAGTATCGCTCCTACTGGTCTTGGGCGCCAGCGGCGGATTACCTCAGTAACCCTGAGTTTTCGCTTAGCTGGCGATTGGCTCGGAATCAGCTGCCTCTCAACGACAAGGCTTTCATATGGGGCTTGGCGGATTTGCCAGACTGTGAACGGTGTGGCCTTGGCTTAGAAGAAACGGCTGAGCACGCCTTCTACCATTGCCCCCAGGTCCGCCCCTTATGGGACCATGTCGGCGAGCTGACGGATCGTCTCGCTCCCGAACAGCTTGTGTCCATTGATCGCGCATACGCGTGTGACAATGTGTCGCCCCCGTATTCCGGGATGAAACGGATGGTATTTCTGACGCTGATGGCCACGGCTCGAATGGTGATTTGGACGACGCGAAAGGAGGAAGTCTTGCGAGGCAATCGTCTTTCTCATTCGGATCTAATTCGATTCTTTGAGCACCAGCTCAAGATGAAGATTAGATCGGATAGAAAACGATTGCATTCGACAGTCTTTAGCGAAAGGTGGGTAAAAGAAGCGAGCTTGCTTCGTGTGAACGGGGCTAGCCTTGATTTTCTCTTCTAGGTCAACCTATTGCACATCGGGGTGGCTTCCTGTGGAACCCTTCCCTTGGTTAGGTTAGACAAGCTTCAGTGTACCTAGTTAATGTAAGTGTTGTTCCTGGCCTGCATCCCGGCCGTTCTTTGGTTATGATCCAAGTCGAGATTCCCAACCTCCCCAGTTTGTTTTGACCACCCCTTTCATCTCGACTGGGTCAGTTTTATATTTTCCCATTCCAGCCTAATATTTTATACTTTTTCCCACTCCCTTAGCGAGAGCGTCTCTTGATTTTGTCCCCTGGGCAGAATACAGCGGTCTCTCTGTTTTATGGGTTGGACGGTCCCTACTAACATCAATTATGTTTAGTTTGTATTTGTGTTTATTTTTTAAGTTTATTATTGGGTTCATTTCTCTCCCCTCTCATTTTATCATTATTAGAATTGTATATATATATCATCATTAAAATTTTTATGGCATGGGGCGCGATTTTGGTAGGTCTCCCTTGAGAGCACGTGGTATTATGGTGATTGAAGGATTGTTTGATGATGGACGAGTTCTTTTGGTGAATGGGTAAAATGTAATGTACGAATGGGTCGCGAATCTGATTAGCTTGGTATAAGATAGTTAGTGTTGACCAGCCTCTATCCCTCCTCTTTATTGGCCTCGTGCCACAATTTGTACTTTTTGTATGAATAAATACCAGTCTTGTTCTTATGTCCATTGTCTTTGTCATGTTGAATTGATAATGTTAATTATATTTTATGAATATGTCCAGAAGATGGTTTATTAGACCGAAACGTCCGACGTTGACATTATATTAACATTAAAACAGCATAATTGCATATAAGCATTTTTGTTTGTTTTTTCCGTATATTTTTCTTCATATATATATATATATATATATATATACATATGTCAATATAGGCCACACTACAACATGTTTGACACGCAAACTCATTCTACACCTTTCTGACCATAGCTCAATTAGATCTCATTTAAATATTCATGGAGACCTACCGGACACTATTTGTAACATACTTATTGACAACACAAATATAATACCATCATCTACATGCAAAAAAAACGCTAAAAAAAATGGAAGCCAAAAAAAAACACTTAATAATATTAACTTTGAACATGGACACAATATCTTGACCGTGTTTTGAAAAATGAAAACATTATATAAATACATGCAGGCAACAAACTATTTCTTATTTAACAGTTAAAATATTCAATCCTTGAAAATGGATAAATGTATAGCCGAAAGCCCTCGGAATAAAAGAACATTAGGACAGTTTTTATATAATTTATCATCTGAAAAGAAAAAATGATTAGATCCCATGAGAAATTATATAAAAAATAAATCAAAGCACCTTGTCAGTCGTATTCATTGAAATGTGTATAAAAGAAGGATTGCTGCCTAAATACACAAATATATATATATATATATATATATATATATATATATATATATATATATATATATAAAAACAATATTATACGAAATGAATTTAATTTAACGTTTTCTTTTTTCCTTTCTTTTGTGGACAAGATTTTAATGCAATATATTTGCATTTTCTATGGAAACTATTTCTATTTATTTTAAGGCTAAAAATTTAACAAATGCTTTAAGCAAGAAGCAAAATGTTGAATGCGTTATTGAAGAAAATGAATTAGAAATTCATTTTAGAAAGATGGGAAAATGGTCTGTATTCAAAAACGAACTGCCATGCCTCTTAACAAAATGGTTTCTTCTGTAAAGAAGCCGCGCGGCAGACATTAACAAAAAAGTTCTTATAAAGATTAATACCACCTTTGATTGGTAAATGAAAAAGTAAATAGATAGATAGATAGATAGATAGAAACAGAATATGATGGATAGAAATAGAGAGAAAAGGAGAGAGAGATGAACAGACTGTGATAGATAGATAGATAGATAGATAGATAGATAGATAGATAGATAGATAGATAAGAACATACTTAAATAAATAGATACATAAATACATACATATGAACAGACTAACATAGATAGATAGATAGATAGATAGATAGATAGATAGATAGATAGATAGATAGATAGATAGACTTGCGTACACTGAGATAGATACAAAGTTGAATACTGAAAAGTTAATATCAGCGCTAGGAAAGAATCTGAATAAAATCGAGTCTAAAAATGGCACGAAAGTATATGTCCAAGTGTGACAGACGATAATTTAATCCTTTTTTTTTTCTTTCTTTCTTTCTTTCGTCGTTTACGCTGGGTTGTGTGATTTTTTACTCGTTTTCCTTTCCTTCTTTCTTTTTTCGCATTTGGTGGAAACATTGGCGTAAGTTCGTTTCGTTTTTTGTTGCTTTTCTTTTCGTCGGAAGGTGTCTAATCGGTAGCGTCGAGGTCTTTTCCACTGTAGATCAAGAACATTTCGAACGTGCAAAATCGATACAGATCAATGCCAAATGTCTGGTTACGTTTGGCTGGTCTATCAACTATTTATACCACCCTGTCTCCTCTAGAAAAAGGTTGAATGACCTCCGGGATCAAACCTTTACTGCGTTCGAGTACGTGGGTGTACGTTTTTGTGAGAAAAAGGAGCGTATGAAGAAATAAAAAAGGAGAAAAGTGCTTCTTAGGATTTATAGGGACCTTTTGAAAAGGGTTCTTAATTAAAATTCGTTTTATCTGAAATAAGTTCCGAACAGAGGGGGAACAAAGACTGTACATCAATCTTCCAAATATGACTGACGAGGCAGATTTTTCCCGCAGTAGGTTGCCATTACTTCCTGTGATAGACCAGTTGCCATTCCCGCAGTAGGTTGCCATTACTTCCTGCGGTAGACCAGTTACCATTCTGTCCTGCTTTTTACCCATAGCTGGGGGGAGAAGAAGAGAATTCATACCTTTCCCAAGCACGTAATGGTTTCGACTGGAATTCGAACTCTGCTCTCCGATTCCTCAATCCGAGCCGCTATCCATTACTCCAACTTCCTATATCGGAGGGGTCTTTAAAATTATAATTTAAAATCCGAAACATTTCATCTGGGATAATCGGACGGCAACCATGAGCAGCGGTGAGAAAACACTTCAACACCAAAATATATCGTATACATAGATATAATCGCAAAACTCAAAAATTCGGACCCGCTTACGTATGTCCTGTATATGCAGTGATTGTACCATTCACATGAAGAAATGCAGTTAACGATGAGCAACACCCACACTGTCGTGCTATCTACACGTGTTTAATGATTACGCAAGCTTTTCATAACTTTGTATTGAAACAGCTTTGCGGTCATTACAATGTCTGGCAAAATCACCAGAAAAAAAGAAGAAATTGGAAACGAAATTTCTGAACTCATTGTTACATAATGCAAAGACCAACTCAAAATGAAGACGAACTCCTAGCGTTCTAGTTAGAACTTTGACGACCTAGACTGAGAGGAAATGGCATGAACACATTGGACGATGAATTCGGATAGTCGTGCATTGTCTTTGTTTAAATTTTAATATAAGACCGAAAAACGCTCGATGACGGTTACAAGAATAGAAACAAGATGCCTCCCTGCTCTTAGATTCCTCAGATGTTGATATCCGTCCCCTCTATTACTCTCTTTTCCTTGATTTTTCCAAGAAACAATAATACTATTACTGTCCCTTATGAACGAAAGCTAGTAAAAAGAAGTCTAAATAAACTTGCCCGTCTTTTCTTTCGTCTGTGATCCAAAGTTGGTACCTGAAGAATTGCTGATAGACCCCAAGAAGCCAACGACGCTGGTCAATGCAAAATCATCGTTGAAGTCCATCACTGAAGAAACCAACATCCCGATAACATCTCCCTATTTATGAGCCTTCTTTCCTAAAGTCAAGCTTTATAAGTACCTTATAACAATATGTATTAGTTTTAAAATGATTGAGTAGCGGAATAACAACGAATCTAACGAACTGCAGATGTTGAAAATGAACAGAAACATGGTTGAAAGATATTGATCACAAACAATTAGATTCTATCGATACTTGCTGCAGTTAAACATACGATTGCTCACATTTTGATTAAAAATTAAAACGTTCTTATCTATTGTTTTTACTGAAATATTTATAAACGAAATACTGATGCGTAAATATATATATTGTTGAAAATTATTATATTCACACGGGGAGAATACGCAATATCTGAAACTGAAGAATGGTGGACACTGATGTCAACACCAAGTGGCGACTGTCTGTTTCATACTTGAACGCAACCTTCAGGTCATATATATATATATATATATATATATATATATATATATATATATATATATGCGGTGTTGGTGGAGGCTTAATTATCCATAGCTGATTAATCATGGAGACTCATTCTTGTGATTTTCTTTGTATGTATGATATCTTGTGTCGCAAATGCGTGCCTCCCAGCTTCGAACTCCCCAAAGTAGTAATGGCCTGCAAGTAATTCTAAGAAATTAATAGATTTTATTTTTAATCCCAAAGTATTTCTTATTAATCTAAAATTATTCTTAGTGGATACCGTTGTTTAAATAGACACAGGTTTTTTAATAGTGTGAATTGCGTCAACTGGCTTGTGCATTCGACAGACTTCAACAGCATATGCTTTTCGGTATTCATCCATAATAACATACTAAAATTTGAATCATTTGCAAAGGATAGAAAAAGAATTATAACAATTATTTATTTATTTTCAAAATAGGATCGTCCAAAAGTAAGGGACAAAATTGAGAAAAACAATGTAAATAGTATGCTGTATTCAAATTTTTTGATTTCCTCTAAAGAATAAGTCTTACTTAGTCATTTGTAAACGTTGCATCAGCCGGCACCATGGCGAAACGCCAAAAACTTGATTACTCTGTGAGACAAGCTATTGTGAAGCTACACAAGGAAAAGCACACCATTAGAGAGATTTCAGAGAAAGTGAAACGTTCCAAGAGTGTTGTAGGCAGGGTTGTTAAATCCTACAATGATACTGGCAAAATAGTTAGTGCTTTTAAAACCGGCAGACCCCGCAAAACTTCGGCAAGAGAAGATCGAATAATGCAGCGTATGTCATTAAAGGACCGTTTTAAGTCTTACACAGAAATTAAAAGGGTTATGAATAGTACCTCATGTGTTAATGTGTCAAGACAGACTGTTTGTAGACGACTGCAAGAAATAGGGCTGTTTAATCGAACCCCAGGGAAGAAACCACTTGTTAGTTCGAAGAATAAGAAGAAGAGATTAGAGTTTGCAAACAGGTATGTAATTTGGACATATGAAAATTGGGCAAAAGTATTTTCAGTGATGAAAGCAAGTTTAATTTATTTGGAAATGATGGAAAAAACAATGTAAAGAGACGTATTGGTGAAAGATTAAATGCAAAGTGTACTAAGAAAACTGTCAAGTTTGGGGGCGGAAGCGTCATGGTATTTGGAATGTTTTCTAGCCAAGGCACAACGTCTCTTGTCCGGTTACAAACTCGTGTAAACGCGCAGATCTATAAAAACATTGTTCAAGATCATGTTGTGCCAATCATACAGAATTCAGGTTTCGATAGGGCTACCTTTATGCAAGATAATGCCCCATGTCACAAGGCAAAGGTGGTAATGAGTTACCTTAGCGAGCAAGATTTGGAAATTATGGATTGGCCACTGCAAAGACCTGACTTAAATCCAATAGAAAATCTTTGGAAGACCTTAGGAGTGAAAGTTATGGAAAGAAATCCCACTAACACGGAGGATTTGTGGGTGAAGCTTCAAGAAGAATGGTCTAAAATTAGTATCGAGGATTGTCAAGAACTGATTCGTTCTTGTAGTCGAAGATGTGCAGCTGTCATTGAGAGCAAGGGCTCATTTACTAAATATTGATTGTACATGTATTTTTATTGTTTTTTTGCCGTTTACATTGTTTTTCTCAATTTTGTCCCTTACTTTTGGACGTTCCAAATTTGAAAATAAATAAATAATTGTTATAATTCTTTTTCTATCCTTTGCAAATGATTCAAATTTTAGTATGTTATTATGGATGATAACGACTACCAGTTGTCAAAATTTCAGCTTCTCACAGTTGTTATTTCTAACAAATATTAGGTTTTAAAATTTTGTCCCTTAGTTTTGGACGCTACTGTGTATATATATATATATATATATGCAAGACTCTTCGGTAAATCGAATTGAGTTCTCAGTGTTTATCTAAAAATAAATACACTTAAATTCACCTTCATCCCTGTCGTGCGCCAACGGCTTAGTGGTAGAATCCCGACTGACGCCAATTCAGTCGGGTTTCGATCCTAGCTAGAGGCAACCGGATGTCTAGCCACACTGATGAACTGTGATACAGCGAAACAGTCTGTCTGTGGATTACAATATATATATATATATATATATATATATATATATATATATATATATATATATATATATATATATATAAAATTAGTGAAAAGATTAAAATTCCCAGCTGGATTTTGAGATTTGTATCGAGCTGAAAACTTCTTAACACCTGCTTCCTATATCGGAGGGGTTCTGAAAAGTTCTTTAATTTCCTGAATTATGTGAAAATTTGCTACGGTTTTTTAAAATACTGATTCGTATATAAGAAGGGTGCTGAAAAATATTTATTCTGAACTACCACAAAATTGGACCAAACAATAGAATTTAGGTTCGGAATGAATTATTCTGTTCAAGCCCAAATCTTTTACCGTCACCCCCCTTGGGGGGCACGTTGAGTTTTGTCTATCTTTATTATATTTTTTTTATTGTTTTTCCTTATCCTGAATAGTTAAATTAATTACAAACATTATTACTACTTCACGCATGCCAAAATTGAAGATAGATAGATATGAACAGACACAGATAGATAGATAGATAGATAGATAGATAGATAGATAGATAGATAGATATGGCGTGCTACCTCCTCCACCGAGTCGAATCACATCCATATCTTCCGTAGTCCAATGCTATTTTTCATGGGTCAATTGTTATCTCTCCATAATTACTACTTTCAATATATGGAGAGAATGAATTGGGAAAATTGTGTTGTCTTAATATTGCAAATGGGGAATATCTGTTTGCCTTGAAAATCACCAACTGAAAATTTGACTTTTACCTGAACTCCAGTACCAGGTCCTACCGGTGGTAAAGATGCCATGGTTTCTCAGTAGGGAAGCTTTTGTTTGAATCACTGATTTTAGATTCTTGTGAGAAGCACTGCTGAACAAGTTTAAACAGTGACTGTAATCATTTTGGGCGTAACCCTTTGTCTTTCCAAGAATTAATGAAGCAGTCTGGCCAATGGCCAGAGTCTCAATTCCGCCAAAATTCATTCCAAACAAACCCAAGTCCAAAATCGCTCACGATTCTAATGAGGAATTAATAATTTTTATCAGTTAAATGCGTTGTTGGGCAGAGGAGAGATTCCCCAACAACTACGCGGCAGTATCAAATGCTAATCATGAAGATTTTTTTAATATCTCAAAACAAATTCCGATGTGTGTCATTCTCACCGGCGCAAGTGATTAATATGAAGGCAAAAGCTACAATTTCGAATTATGAGATTGTGTTCTATTTCATTCGATTTTGTTTTATATTCTTATTCTTATTCCTGTTCATTTTTTTCTATTCTACCGCCCATTTTATTTTATTCTTTTATTCTCTTCTGTTTTAATTATTTTATTCTACTTCATTCTATTTGATTTTATTATATTATTATTCTTCGTTCTCTTTTATTTTATTCTATTATTCGTTTATCCTTCTGAGTTCAATTTCATTTTTTTCTTTATTCTATTTGATTTTTCTTCTGTATTATTCTTTTATTCCTTTTCATTTACTTATATTTCATTCTGCTATTCTTCTTTCTTTTTATTTTATTCTTATTTTCGTTATATTCATAATGAACTAAGAATAAAATATCCGAAGAAATGTCAAAGCATCTCTTGTCATATTCTTCTTCTGGTGATGGGAATGAATATTGAAATATCAACAGAATTTCATATTCCTCTTTTGTTTTTATTGCCATATTTTCTTTCATATTTTTCGACTTTCCACCTCAATGTGTTGCATGAGGTCGCATTGAGAAGTTGTCTTGTGCTTTTTTTTTATTTTTCATCAAAATTTTATAAAATCTATACCATTTCAAGTTCAATTTGGGACTAATCAAAGTCATTTTGAGACTAAGTAAGCTCATAATGAAATAGCCAAGTTCAAAATGAAATAGTCAAATTCAAAATGGAATAAGGAAATTTAATTTGGGACTTAGCAAATTCAAAATGTTTCAAACAAATTTAATTTGGGACTGAGTAATTATTTTGCTAAAAAAGACTTTAAAATTAAATATTTTCATGATAAAATAATAAGGTTTAACTAAAGTTTACTATTGGAATGTTTTATCTTCGAGGAGCAATCAAAAAAAATCACGAAAATTCATGAAAGGTCTATGTTTTTGGATGCAAATTTCATCGCTTAAAATCTCTCACTATACCTATCTTTTTTCAAACTCTGTCTTGATATATGCATTCATTATTTCCTTGCTGCTTTTTTCTTAGGAATTTCGACATTTGTCCTGCTGTCCCCCAAATCATTTCACTTTGAATAATTCTCTCTTATTCCCACTTTTTTTAACACTATATACAGTCTAGCCATCTCTTTCTTTCTTCTTTTCTTCTCCAATGAAAGTACCAGAAACTCTAATTTTGACACAAATTTATCCGCTCAAGAATATCTTCTTGTAAGGAATTGATAGTAAAATCTATGCAAAGCTGTGCTCCGATTTTTAATTATCTGGTTTACCACCTCGTTGATTTTTTTTTAAGAATGGCTTTCCTTTTGCTTGTAACTTTGAGACATTGTTCATCAATCGAGATAGGTTCTTTGCTGTCTTTAATCAAGGGAAAAGAAAAGAAAGTTTTATAAGACAACCAGTTGCAATACACATCCGAGGAAGGCCGAAAATTATATCGATCAAAAATTTGAAAAAATACAACAAAGTTTGAATAATGTAGCATAATGGAAATACATTAAACAATAACCACATTGCAAATGCCGAAAAACACATCAACTGGAACTTTATGATAAAAAACAAAAGTGATATCCCTTCTTCTTTTATTGTTTCATCAGATGGAAGATCATGGCTCTTCATAACTTCCTATCTTGTGTTGCTATTAGTAACTCTTGCCTAGTTTCTGAAAGGCATCTTTCGCTATTCTTATGCATTCTCAGATTTCTGTGTCACGATTATTCTTCATGTCTCTTCTGCACGTGGGCGATCATGACTCACCACAATTTCCTATTCTTAATGAGGTTTGTCTTTTTGCTATCCACCAAGTCCCTTTTCTGCCATTCATTTACACTGGAATGTTACTCGCCCCTTTCCTCGGCCCTTGTTGCCTTCAATACTTGACAGTTTGATGACACCTTTCACAGCTGATTTACTAACCGTAGCTAAATGACGGTCAGGTGACACCTGTTACGCATGTCTCCCCTTACCGAGCGATGAGTTAATCCCAATAAACTTTACCCCCATTCACGCTGTTATCTATGATATTAAAAATGATGGTTGTAATGACTGGTCTTGGAATTACCATCTCCACTGTGGTTTTATTGAGACACTATCTCTAATTATCTGACCTTTGACACGTCAAGACTTCTGCCCTTTAATAGCTCTTATTTTTCATCCTACATGGATGCTAAACACCCTCCCCACTCCCAATAAAGTGGGGTAGGAGAGCACCAAATTTAAAACACCAAATTTAAAACACCAAATTTGAACTGATTTGAAGAAAATCCTTGACTCGAATTAATAGTGGTAGAAAAGATAAATAAACACACTATTCGGATTCGATGTTAGTAAAAACGTTCAACTGGCTTGAGAGAAATTTGAATTTAAAAGTTACAACATTTATATCCATTTTTATTTCGGAGAGCTGGGGTAGGGGTGAGAACTGAAAAAATTCAAATTAATAACAAACAAAACACATCATCACCAATTAAGTTTCAAAGAACGAAATTTTAAACGAATTACGAATAGTCCGTAAAATAATGAAAAGTGTTCCTGTCATAATTAATTAGTAAAATCCCAATCCATTTTATCAATTTGTTTTAATATACTTTATCAACAATCATGATTTGAGGAATTATTTTTATCTCTAATGTTTTAAAATTATTTGGTAAGGAAGAATTTTAAGAAGTTTTACTGCATGACGAAGTTTTTGTAAAACTTTCCGAGACCCCTAACGTGATTTGGTCAGTCATGCTACAAATTCCCAACATTCAATTTACCAGTGAATGTACAACACAGTAGATTGACGTTTTAAATATCGTATTTTCTTTTACCTATGCTGGGTCGGTGATAATCCTTATTACACCTTTACTTCAAAAGAAAAACACATTTCAGCTGTGAACTTGAGCAATTTTCTATATCTACACATTATTATTTTTGCCGACTTTGATATTAAATTCGATGACCTTTGCTCCTAGCGATCAGTCTTGATAAATGTAAGTTGAGTACATTTAAAATTCTTCATTTCTATTATTCTATGCAATCAGTTTTGGGAAACTTTGCTGCATAAATTTTAAAAGCACTAAAGAATCTTTTTCCAAGCAATCAGTCTTGCAAATTCGTTCTCGATTCTAGTAAAACCACTGGAAATTTAGTACATTCAGTTTGTAATGACAAAATAAATAACGACCTAATTATGACTAAATGTGACTGATGAGATTTTGGTAAACAATTGCCTGAAAAGTGTTGGAGTCGATGAGTATAAGTCGATGAATAAAAGTGGCTTCTCTGATTTACAGGTTGGTTTTTAACTTATATTAAGAAAGAAAGAAAGAAAGAAAGAAAGAAAGAAGATTAATGAAGGAGAATAAAAGAAAAATGAACGATTGACAGATATCAAGAGAGGACGAAAAAAGCAAAATATTGAAAGGAAAACAAATTGAAATTTAAATCAACAATCGACAAAAAAGAAAGAAAGAGAAAATAAAACAGAATTTGAAGGAAAGAAACTAAGAGGAAAAGAGCAAATGTTGATGGAATTTCAAGGCCACTTTCCAACTTTACGGACTTGCTAATCTAGATGGATTCATCGATCGATTGATCTTTATCGATCGTACCTCGCCTACAAAGCGGATACACTGAATGCGGGATCTGGGCTCAACTCAGTGAGTCATCGGCTCAGCGCAGCTCAAATAATCAGACGAGCACTACGGAAGAAACCGTTCTGCTTTACTCTTGTCCGAAAACTGCAAGCCCAAAATCTGTATGCCACTCAGTGGAGATAATCCCAAATTCATATCCAAATAGAAATCTCGTGAAAAGGCACCTAATCTTCTCTTTCCGTTCTCGTACGATTCCAATCCCACCTCCACCTTGTCGTTATAATCCCTGTCCGGGATTTATTTGTCATTACTCCTCTGCCAATTCATTCATCCATTTGTTTGCTTACCAGGTTTTAAGTCCATATATGACTTGATTAGCCGTCGATAATGACAAAATAATGAAAGAACAAATGGACCAATGAGGATCAATAATGGTTATTTTTTTTTTTTTCATATAAATGTGGACAGTGAGAAAAGGTATTGACCCTTTCATAGTTACGCGTCGATGAGGTTGATTACTTCAATCTGACCGCAAATAAAGAACACAAGATGTAAATTTCGGTTCCATTTGAAGATAATCTTGTCAAAAATGATGTCCTCAACCTTGCATTATATGAGCATTCCGTAAATGAATCAAGTCAAACAACTCTAAAAATAAATTATAGAGAAAACTAGGTTGTGATGAACCATTAACGCTTAAGTACCTGCGAAAGAGCTTTTATTCAGATCGACACAAAGTCATAAAAATCCTTCTTTCTTTACGAAAATATTGAATTTCATTTATATCCGCAAAGTTTGGCTTTTGAGTGTCATAAACAAGAATATTGCAAAGAATTTTGTTTAG